CTTCTATACAATTTATTCCACCATGTGCTATTATAGTAGTTTTAGTAAACCTATAACCTGTAAACTGGTATTTCTTTACTGTTATTTGTGTTTGCTGATTTTTGGTAACCTAATGTCTGACCATGGTTTACGTAGTAGTAAAGCAAAGAGCGGACTAGAATCCGGCCCTTGAGAAGTCCCTGGTAGACATTCTCCATGAGTATAAAGATAGTGGCTACAGAGGTGACAACGGATGGACCCCTGAAGGGTGGAATAAAATGGTGAAGGAGTTCCATCTGAGGAACAAGTATGTCAACTACACAAAGAGTCAGATTCAAGACAAAGAAGGACAGCTAAAGAAAGACTATAGGATGCTCAAAGAGGCAAGGAGGCAGAGTGGGGCCACCTGGAATGAAGATAGGCATATGGTTGAAGGATCACCATCTATGTGGGATAACCTTGAAATTGTAAGTTGATTTTTGAAGTAATTCTATGGATATCCTCATAGTGATAACCTCATATTTGATCAATGGTTCTCTTTAAATGTGCAGACATTCCCTAAAATTAGGAAGTTCCACAACAGTAAGGCAAGATTTCCACTATTTGATGCTTTGGGAGAGCTTTATGATGGTAGGTTCACTTTCTATAGTTGCAAACAGTACCAATCAATATATTCTTTCTGCTTCTCACTTTAGTATTTGTTTGTTTCTATCTTGCTTATCTATATTATCCTATGATTCACTTGACTTGTCTACTAGTTCCGATGACTAAGCAACAATATGCTAGTTTTATAGAGTTAGGTCATAACTATATTGGTTCTCTTTATACTTGAATTTCATGAGGAAAGACCACTATCTATAGCTATTTCCTTGTTATCGTGTAGGTCATTTGGCTGAAGGTACTTACAATCTGACTTCTCTTGAGCCACCGCAAGAGGAAGCACCACTTCGATAAATTCATGATGTAGATGACTTGGACAACATTGAGGTTCATGAGGTACTAGATGAAGATGATTCAATCACTGAGATACAAGAGGAAGCAAGTGAGGTTGTAGCTGTTGAAAGAAATGGACAGCGAGGTTCTCTATCACGAGATGAAGAAAATGAGGTCATAGCTGTTGAAAGAAGTAGGCAACGAAGAACTACTACTACTACATCAAGCAAAAAACATGAAAAGGAAGAAAAGAGACCTAAGAAGGGTGAAAGGATTGAAGAAATAATGGGGAGATACCTAGACATGAGGACTAAGCAAGTACAAGATGAGTCTGCAGATCTAGCCAAAGAAAAGGAGGTTGCTGAAGGTAATGACTTCTCTATCAAAAGGTGTATATCTGTTCTGAGCACAATGGAATTGACAAAGGAAGAGAAGGTAAAAACATTTGCAGTTTTCATCAAGAGCAAAGAAAATAGAGAGGCCTTCCTAAGTGGGTGTGAACTAGATCGAGAAGCAACTTTGGTTTGGCTCAAAAGTGTGATGGTCTAACAGGTCAGTCTACTTAATTGCTGAAAACTTGATGTTTTCCTTCTATTTGACTACAAGAGTCCTTTAGTCACTGCAAAACTAAAAGAAGAAATATTTTCTAGTTCTGTGCAACCCTTAGAGATGAGAACATTTTGATAGTTGAGTTGCTAGTAAGAGGATTTGGACTGTAGATATGCATTTCTAGTCAGGTTGAAAGCTGAGATCTGCTACTTTCATTTAGCTTGAAAATTGCTGTCCTTTTACAGTGAGGTTGAAAGCTGAGATCAAGGAGTATATCTGCAGTCTGCTAGTAGTAGGTTTGTAATGATGTGGCAATGTCAAACTTAAATGCTAGTAGTAAGGTTCAAAATTACTTCTTGCAGATAGAGTGCTTTCATTTGTGATGTCAATATTAAAATGTAGTTATGTCATTTATGTGATTCAGAGTAGCATCCATATTATGCACACCTGGTAGTGACAATAGTTTAGCCTTTGCAAAGTGATTTAGTTAAATATCTTATCTCTTGTTTGACCTGCAGTGTGCTTTGCTAAATTCTTTGTTGCTCTGTTGTTTGCTTGCTGAGTTCAGTGGATGTTGTCAGTGCTTTACTTGTGTGCCGACAGTAGTTGTAGTTTAGTGGCCAGTTACAGTAGTAGTAGAGTAGTTGTTTCTTTACATGCTTTCAATTAGTTGAAGTTGAAAAAAGCAGTTTGCGCGGTGCTTATAGCTTGCTTATTATACTTGCAGTGCATATAATTTAATTAACTCATGGGCTTATACTTGCTGATTGCAGTGCATATAAAAGAATTTTCAGTACATGTTTAATTTGCACCTGTGGATGATCAAAATAATGTTAACTCCTGGTTTAATAAGCACATCACCAACTTTTTGTGAGGGACAAGTCTGAAATTGATCAATTGTGTTCATCCAACATAACACGGTGTGACCGTGTGAGGGACAAGTCTGGTATGCTTGTTTGTGCAGTATGCCATTCCTGCTTAGGTGCTAATTTGTTGGTTAAAATCCATGGGTGCAATCCACTGTGCACGTTGGATTGGATGAAAGCAACCTATGGGTGGGTTGAGAAAACAAATTCATTTGATTTGGAGTGGGGTTGGAATGGGGTGGGTTTAGTCAATTAGCAGGGCTACTGCACTTGTTGTAGCTCATTCTAGGTCTAAGGACGTGCTTGAATTAGGAGCTGCTTATGGTGTTTTTATTGCACGTCACACAAGCTGCTGTAATTGACACGCTGAAACTAGCCTATTACAGCACCGTAGCACATGGTAGCTTTTGCTTGTTTTGTCCCCTCAACTGACTTGTTCCACTGGTGTTTTGGTTGCCCTGTTTGTAGGACCACTCTGGTGGGGATATGACTGGCTGTGGTTTATGAGTGGAGCCAGCGGCGGATCCAGGAAATATTTTAGGGGGAACTGAACAACATATACTTGCTTTCGATCTTAAGTCTCAAATTTCTACACTATAGAACTTTGCCTAAAAATTCATGGAGCTCTACAGGGTTTTCCACAGCTCCGGTATGGGTAGGGGGGCTCGAGCTCCCTCCGCCCCACCGTTGGATCCGCCCATGAGTGGAGCAATTCTGATGATGGAATGTAAACGCTTGTAGGAACCCCTAGTCTTCTTTTTTTGAAGAGATCGACTCTACTCATGTATATGTCGAATTTCTGTTGTAGTGTTATTAGAGTTCTAGTACCAGATGCAAACTTACTGCGTGGTGGCTCCCAACTCCCAGTCACTCATATACCATTAATAACATTGTTGCAACCTCGATGTGGTGTTAACTTGAGCGGACGGTTACTTGACATGCAATTTCGAATCGTGCGATCGCTTAAAGATTGTGATAATGTTCAGATTACCATCTTTTGTAACTTGCGAGTCATTTACAGTCAAGTTGTTTCTGGATGTTCATTGCTTGCTTACAAGTACATCTCTGCTACCCCTATTTTCTTGCCTCTCTCAGCCGAACACTCTTTTTTTTCACCAGGTTTTGATCCTGGCCAAGAATGATTATTCACCAGGTTTTAGTGACAAACCAGGATTCACTCGATCCTGGCCAGGATCAAAACTTGGTCTGGAACCAATCAGGTGCTGCCGAACGAGGCCTCAAGCAACGAACCCTAGAAATGGTTTTTCATAAATGGTTAGATTTTCGACACTATAGTCGACGACATAGTGCCGATTTTAGACGGTCGGCCTCCCACAGCAGCACCGCAGAGGCGCGATGCTTCAGGAGCGCCATGAGCATTTACATCGGGGCCCACGCACACGGCGAGGTGGCCCTTGCTCGCACAACACAAGTTTGGCTGCGGGTCGCCGCACCCTTGTGCCCGCCGGCCCCTGTGGCGTCGGATTTGGGGTGGGGGACGCCGCATCTAGGCCTAGGAGGTGCGCCGCGGTGTAGTTGAGCGTGCACAGGAAGTCGACAGTCCTGCCCCATGGCGTTGAACACCAGGCCCGGGTCAAGCGCCTGCTGTGGACGGAAAGAGCGTGCTACCAGCAAGGTCGTAGAGTATGTGCATGTTCTGCTGCTGATAGTTTCCTACCGTCGTCGTGTTTTCGTCGTCCCCGCCGGGCGACTGTAGTATCGCAATGCACGTGTAGTTCTGACCATTATTCTTGTCATCGACCGGAAATGCGTAGTTCTCCCGCGGTAGGTCCAGCGGCGCGCCCTCGAACTGCAGCTGTAGCTTCAGCATCGCCGTCTTCGTCGACGCCGGGAAGCAGAGAACATCAGGTAGGGACCTGATTGTTAGCTAATCTACTGCCACCTTGTGTGAAACACAGCAGAGGAAGGCGGCGCCGACTTTGCCCCCTGCTGTAATACTGTAGCCGCTGCAGGTGCAGGCGCCGCACGGCTCACCTACAGCACTGTAGGCACATGCAGAGGCCGGCGCAAAGTCAGCCATGTATGCTTATCTAGTTACTGTTACAGCATGTGCGCTGTACTTTAGTTAGATAGATATAGTTGTATAAATAGGGCACCAAGGCAACTCAGTAAAGAGAGCTCAGATTTGCCATCACACAGACAGGGCCTCGGCCAACATTGTTGTCTTGTATTGTGCGTGCTTGCTCTGTTCTCCCTTCTTCTTCTAGCTCGATCCATAGTGTGTGGGTACGGACACAACCGGTATAGTGGTCTGGGAGACTAGTGGTCTGGGAGACTAGTGGTCTGGAGACTAGTGGTCTGGTCTGGAGACTAGTGGTCTAGTCTGGGAGACTAGTGGTCTGAAGACTAGTTCACTATCGTCAGACGGTGATCCCGTGGGCCAACACTGACGGCCACGGGCGTCATATTCAGCTGGGAGACGAAGGCGTCGCGAAGGAGGCTATAGACGGTCGACGGAAGCAGCGTGATCGAGGTGTCGGAGTCAATGATCGTCCCGCCGGTGATGCTGTCGTCCTTCAACGCGAACGTGGACGTCGGCACCTGCAGCGTCGTTGACCCCACCGTGATGCTCTGTAGATTCAGGTAGTAGGAGAAAGTCGATGTCATGTTGAGCGGGGTAATCTGCACGGTTGCGCCGCCGCTGCCGCTGCCTTAGAGGTTCGCCGGTAGGCCGAGCAGCACGGCGCTGGGCGTGGACCCCGTGATGTTGGTGAAGCAGTACGAGAAGTTGTCGACTTTGAGCTGCGACGAAAGGGACAGGGCGCCGCAGCCGAAGCCGGTGATGCCGGTACCGGACGAGTTGAAGTCGAGCAGTCCTTGGTTAAAGGAGCCGCATCCGAAGGCCAGGCCGTCCACGGCCGCACTGCCGTCAAATGTGGACGTGTCTGCGGCGAGGAGCCCGCTTGTCACAGACATGTCAGCGTACAAGTAGGTGTAGACGCATGTCTGGTTGCCCCAAGCTTGGGGTGTGCCGGTGCCACACGACGTCCACGGCAACTGCTGCTGGAACGTCGAGAAGTTGCAAGGGAACGACGCAAACGTGCTAGAGTTTGACATGTCAAAGTAAGGTAGGGCCTGGTCGTAGCAGGCGACGCACGGCTGGCACTGCGTCCAGACGAGGCTCAATTTTTTTTGTAATTCAACCCTTTTTTAAGAAAAATTACGTTCAGCCCCCTTGAGACGTAAACTCATCTTTCACACTGGGGTCGGCGCCAGGACTCATGGCTCTGAGGTAACACGTCTCGACGCCACAGATCTTAGCTCCGAGGTGCCTGGCCGCGCACAGCAGGGCATCATAGGTGGCGTTGACGTGGCCGGTACCTCGGAGCCACAGATCTTGGCGCCGAGCTTGGAGCCATAGATCTCGGCTCCGAGCTCGGAGTCATGGATCCTGACGCCGAGCATAGATTCAAAATCCACGGCCAAGTTTCCCTTGCCGAGGCTGCTTTCATTTCTTCCTCCTTTCTCTCGGGTTCTTCCTCTCCCTAACCCGCCCATTCTTTTGAATCGACGAATTTGACCTTAGAAACTTGGATTTGATCCATACATCTTCGCGAGCAAGGTATCCCCTCTCCCCCTATCATTTTTTACGCATTGATTTGGTATATATTACGTCTATTTTGCAACCCTAGATACATTATTATCTAATGTTTGAAGTAATTTTTTATTTTTTGTATTATGTAACGGTAGGATGCTAAGACGTGGTAAAGCTAGTAAGCCAAGATAATCTCTTATCATCGTGTTATATTATGTTTTCATTTATGTGCAACAAATGGAAAACCCCTAGGTTTATGGTTTAATGTTCATTGCTTTCGGTTCTTAGAACAAATTTGGTTCAATTGTAGTTGTGGCCAGATGACCGAAAATGCCTTCGACCCATTGCCTCTGTCTAGTGGTGTTCCAGTGCCCATGTGTTGGTGCGGTGATCCTTGCAAGGTAGCCAAGTCCAATGAAGAGGATACTATAGACAGAGGTACTGGATGTGTGCCAATTTTGTGTTTGAGCTTACACTTCGTCACACTACAAGAAATCTTAGGATCTATGACGACCTGTTATCATCATTATTTCTAATATTTTTTTCATAGCAAATGTATTTATGATGACTGCATGACGATAAACCATTTGTCATGGATCATGCGTGGTAAACCTTATTCTATGACCACTGCATATTTTTTCATCGTAATTTTTTATGACGACCCGATTAAAAAGTCGTCACTAAATATCTTAAGGCCTAGCTAGGCCCATGTACTAAGCAGGGTTTTTATTAGACCAAATATAATTGTGAGCCAAATTTATAATTTGCAAAGCCCATTTATATAAGTAAAATTAACATCAATTTCTAGGACAATTTTTTTGCGGCCTATTTATTTAGTGGGCTAGAAAAGGCCTACCCCATTTAAACATGTAGAGAAAACAGTCTTTTCATCATCCATACATAATCAGCTCATTTCAACTTCCATTTCATAACAGCCCATTTCGACATCCATTACAAAACAGCACATATATAATCTGTACATTCATCAATCAAAGCCCTTAACGCATTCATCAAATCCATCCAGAATCTCATTCACATATATAATCCGTAGATGCATCACAACCCATACACATTCATCGATCATCCAGATCTCATTCCAAAGGATAGATAAATATGATCACATCCATCAGTAATTTTACAAATCCCAGATAACACATTTTCACATAGCAAAAAGACAACACTAACAAGATACATAGTAGAAATTAATATGGTCTGAACCAGATCAGACATATCTCAAAATAACAGCACTACCAATGTTTGTAGCATAATCTAAACTAGATCAGCCAAGTCTCATGTAATAGCACTACCAAATGTTTGTAGCATAAAATAATATGGTATGAGTAGCCAAGTTCCAAAATCAGACGTCCAACCATATGCATCTGCAAACTTACATAGTTAAAGTAATGGCCTTACTCTTTGCTGAACATGCGACGAAAGAAAGCATTCGTCTCGTCTTGTGCCTTCTTCAACTCATCTTGTGCCTTCTTCAACTGCTCTGTCTCTTCTAACAGCCTGCGTCTTTTATTTTCTGATTCCTCCACCTTCTTCTTCAAAGTCTCCATCTCATCCTTTAGTTCTTCTTTGTCTTGCTTTCCAGCTGCAACTTCGGTTTCAAGTTCTATAACCCGTGCATCATTAATGGCGTTGGAGCTTCTCTTGGGGGCTGCTAGCTGAAGGCCAATATTTTGAAGAAATTTTAATTTCAGCAACACTTGAGCAACAATTTCAGCAGGGGTCTTTAAAACTTGGCCGTCTTCTTCAGGTGCAGCAGCGATGGATTCCATTTCAGCCTAAAAACATCAACATATCAGTAAGACAGTTCTGAAATTAATTATCGACTAGTATATTTAAAACCAACAGAAAGGTGGTCATAATTGAGAGTAGTGTTGCTCAAATAAGTGAATGCAGGTTTTGTAAAACAGATGTTCAATCAAGGTTCACATTAAAGGCCATTTAAAGCACGAAAATATTTTTCCAACTGAATATTTTACCATAATTGAGCATGACACAGATGACTCTTCCCGATTCAATATAGTGAGATCATTTATGCTACAAACTATTACACTACAGTTTGGGATGATGACTCATTACAATACAGGTTGGGAATTTGGGAATATTTCTGTTTTGGCAGTGTCTACAAGTTTACATGTGCTATTAAGAGGGTTTCTGGACAGCAGTGACATCATGCAGTACAATCTTGCCAGATTAGCATGAATAAGCTGCTGCTACACATGCAACAATTGATCATTGTTCCTTGGAACAGCAGGAAGCATGTACAAGTTGCTGCTACACATGAATAAGAAGTTGCTGCTACACATGAACAAGTTGTTGTTCTGTGTCTCACAAGTAACAGCAGGAAGCATGTACACATTACGGACTCAACTAAAACCAGTAACATTTGTTCAGAGCTATATATAGTTCAAAATGGAGCTTGTACTTACAATAGCTTCCTTTGCAGACTCATTAAATCCAGTCTTGCTGCTGCAATGTAGCGCCTTGAAAAGATCTATCGCACTGGGTGGTTCATCTTTATATTTCTCTTATTTCTAAAATTATTCACAAACATTTTGTAGGTGTAAGATTATAAGAATAATTGTTCAATGATGAATGATTGTAACACAATGTTTCCATATATTACCAAGGCATGGGTTGTCGCAATATAGCACCGAGATCCTGTCATCTGATGAAACCTTACTTTCTCACGGTTAAGTGCATTTTTTGCACACTTGTCCTGTGAGGAACAATTTAGTAAGCAGGGAAGAATGGCTATAGAGAGAGATAAAAATTAGTTGAATTTGAAACCAGATCTGCTAAGATATTCAACAAACATCAACACTCTTTAAGTGTAGTTGAATTTATGTCCACAACAAGTTATTAACCTAAAACAGTTTGAAAAACAGAAAGTAATCACAGCCAAAGATTGTGCCCTATTCTGGAAGACCAACTGCAACACAACCCTATATGTTGTCGCTAAAATATAATGAGCTGCAGTTGTATTGAGTGCAGCCCAATAGGCTCATTAATATCTAATGAGCACACAATTATCAGGGTAACAAGCCAAGCAACTTCAGGTATAATTATAAGGATGGCCTACTGTATACAGTCCAATATAACATAGCTATAGAATCTTAGACACAATCAAATTGGTGTACAATACGAAGAAATAAACTCAAACATGCAACAAACCAATGCAAGAAAAATAAATGGCTTAAGAAAGCAATTGACCAACATGCCTTGCTTTGGGCTTGACCACATCTCCACCAGCTCTCTCCATTGACCATCAGTCATACTCTTCAATGGTGATGTTGTTCTAACTTTGTCTGCTGGTACACCATTGAAGTAAAGCTTCTTCAAATTATACCTCATTTGCCGTGTTCCAGTCCTGAGCAAATCAGCACATGCCTCTTCGACTGGCTTGCTGTCAGTATCAATTGCTAATTGATTCTAGTCGACAGCATGTCAAGAGCATGTGCATCAAAAAATAGGTGTTAGAAGTATATAATGTGACAGAAATTTTTAACATTAACCTGACAGGAAACTTTAGAAAATCACAATGCAAAGCACAAGGTTCTAAATTGGCAGTCAATAGAAAAGTAGCAGGGACAAAATGTTTATGGAAGGTTCTAAATTTTCAGAATGTGGTGAGAAATAGAGAACACACTTTCTTGCTTTCCGCTTCATTTCAGTTTACTATATATTGGCAGTGGCACTCAAAATAAACAAACATGCCAAAGATTTCAAGTAGATAATACTACAGATAAACTTTATGGTGGTGCTTACAGCTGATGTAAGTTAAACGGATCATTACAACATCAGTCGGAATAAAAGAACATGTAAAGATTGAGGCAGAAAAATATATTGGCAGTCCTAGCATAATGTTAACAGTTAAGCTCCTTGTCATATGCTACTGGAGGCAGAAAAATATTACTCATATATAGGAGTAAACATAGATCATGCACACCCGATAAAAACTGAACATATAGCCTTTATTCACTTACAGAAATTTTGCCCATGTAGCCTGGAAGAATATCCTTGTTCTTGATATCCTTGTACTCCTTCCAGTGTGTAAAGATTGGGATATGTTGCCTTAGTATAATCCCCCCCTCTGATGCCAACTTTGCAGCTTGCATAGGCGGCTCGGGTCATTTCTTCCCTTCAGCAATGACCACCGGAATCCTAGTGTTTAAGCCTCGGCTTATGCGATCCAAGTCTCTGCCCATGCTTTTTCCTTTATTCCATTGATCTACAGTGTGATTTGATTGACCTGGAAATAAGTGGCATTGTTAAATAGCTAGTGCAAACCATTTTAATATGCAAATGTGTAAACCATATTCTTGGAGAAAGGAGTATTGCTTTCTTGCCTTCTTTGCGCATTTCTGTATCATGGTCAGTTTGGTTAAGACAATTGGCAATAGTCAATGCATCTTCTTGTATAGTTGTAGTTGCAGCATGGACGCCTTCCTCGCTTCGAATCAGTTCCTTTGTCCTCTGCCTAGTCACTCTAGGAGGTTGATTTTGGCCT